GGGACGGTGCCCCCCCCCCACCAGTGGCTCCTGGAGAGGGAGAAGAGCCTGCCAGTCTCTTTCCTGGCCCTAGGGGGCGCCGCCCGGGCAAGGCGGAGCCGGATTGTGCTGATTTGGGCCTCCCTCTGCAGGAGACTCTAGTGTGACATTAAGGCTCTTCCCTGAGGGCTCCAAGGCAAGACCAGCCAGTTGGGGGTGGGGGTGGGGGGGTCCCTTCCTGGACTGGCCCTGAGTCTAGATAGAAGAGGGTGTCTCCTCAGCCTCCTGGTCAGCAGCTTTCCTGCTCCGGCTCTCCTTGCACTGGGCCGGGGGATGAGCTTGGGCCCAGAATCTGTGCCAGGACCTCCAGCCTGCGGCCACCTGCACTTCAAGCACCAAATTGGCTCTGGGAGACCTCAGGGTGGTCTGACCTAGGAACTGGCAGGTACATTCACAGCCCTACTCCCTTCCTCTTTCAATGAAAGACAGCCTTTAGCTCCTTCCACAGCCTGGAGAAGTCCTCGGGAGCTGAGCTGTTCAGGGCTTTGTACATACTGCTAACTTGTTTCTATTGGTTTGCATAGTATTTATTGTTTTCATATACACAAGGCTGATTACTGTACAGTTTACACTTTGAACACAGACTATTATAGAAGTGCTTGACGAGTTAGAAAACCTCCTCTCTATTGAACATGCTGGTGCAATCCTCAGACAGCCACAGGCCCTTCCCCAGCAGAGAACTTTGAGATGGGGCCCTGGCTTCTTTTGAGCCCTACAGCTGGGGACTCCTTGCCTCAATTCTCAAATTTCTAGACACAAGGAGCCCCGAATGCACTCTCAAGGTAATGATTTTCACTGGGAGGTGATTAATGTTCAAACTGAGAGACAACATAAAAAAAATATATATATCGAGTTCATCCACACGGCTTCAGAGGTCACAGTAAAATCCGTGTGGACTGAGTGAAGGGGAGACCTGCATGTGTGCACCTGTGTCAGTCATGTCGCTCTTGGAAGAGCAGTCCCTTCACTGGGAAGGGGGTGGGGTGTTACAAGTGGCATGTGGTGTGTGCAGGTGTGGGGGGCTGGCACAGGCGGGTGTGGGATGATGGTGCTAAACTGATTTCATGCCCAGTTTCCAGAATGATCATGTGAGTTTCTTACAAATGAGGTTGAAGTCAAAATCAAAACAAAACAAAAAAGAAGCAAACAAACTTTAACCAATCATCCCAGCCACAGTAGAGCCCTTATTCATGTCTGCACCCATGTGCTCTTTGGGGCTTGCTTGCTCTCCCTCACTCCTCTCCCTTCTTCTTGCGGCCTTTGTCCTGATTCCCACAGAGATCCATAGTCGCTAGAGGCAGGACTGAAGACTGTAGGTCATGCGTCTACAGCCAGTCATTCATGCGAATACGAGACTAAAGGAAGCCCCATACAGAGGTCATGCCGGGATCTTAGGACACGTGCGACCCTCCAGTAGCCCTCTGGTCCAGGTCTCCTCCTGTGTGCATGACAGAGTGTGTGGAGTTCAGGGTTTGGGTGTTGAGGTGTGATCCTGCAGGACACAGAAAAAGGAGTCACTGGAGTCCTGTGCTTTCTTCTTGGGCAGGGCAGACCAGGAGAAGCAGAGTCCCCAGGCACAGCAGTGAGCTCAGAGTGTAGCAGCAGAGGCTAACCCCAAAACACCACCCACCCTTCCCTGTCCTCTTCCCAGATGTTTCATCTCACCAGCCAGCCAGACAGCCCGCACTGGTGAGTGAAGAGTTCCTAGGACGGGCTCTCAGGAACCTTGCATAGGGGGCAGAGAAGGCTGCCAGGAGGCTGGGGAAGAAAATCTTCAGAGTAGATTCTTGTGCTTACAAGTGGCCATTTTTCTGTGATGGGCCCTATGCCAAGGAAAAGGCTCGCTCGGCAGTAGTGCACCTATGCTCTCAGTTCAGGGGGGCCTACAACACTGATGTATGCTCTGTGCCTGCCCTGGACGAGATGTCTGGTCCTGGGAACTCATGACCCTGAAGCTCCTCTTGGCTCTCGTCCACAGGCTCTCATTGTCAGGTACCTCAGCTCCCATTCACATGCCTACTGGTACGCTGACTCTGTAGTAAAGCAACCTCTTAGACATTCTAATTTCGAGACTATTACATCTCAAGCTGGGAAGCAACAACTTTGCATGTGAAGTCCAAACCTATCAGCCTGGGATTCACAACAAGTCACCAAACACACACACACACACACACACACACACACACACACACACACTCCGTGGCCTCAACTCCCAGCCTGCCGAGAGGCCTGCCTCCTCCTGGCCTTCCTTTTCCTTCATTTTTTTTTTTTTCCTGAGACAGTGTCTTGTTACTCAGCTCGAGCTAGCCTGAAACCTCTGATCCCCTGTCTCTGCATCCCAGGTGCTGGGATTTCAGGCAGGTGCCATCATGCCCAGACAATGTTACGTCTTCCAGGAGATACTAAAGGCTCTATCTATAGGGACCCAGGAGCTAGTGAAGAAGAGAAGGACATTTCTTTATTTCTGTGTTTTTTGAGACAGGGACTCCCCGAACTCATTATTTATTGACAGATTGGCCCTGACTTCATGGCAATTGTCCAGTCTCAGAATCCTGAGTGTGGGGTGACAGGTGTGATCCACTGTGCCTAGCTGAGGAGGCCATTAAGATGGAAGTGGGGTGGCACAAAGGTTGGAAGTCATTCTGAGACAGAGCTGTTCCCAGGCATGGAGCTGTCCTGGGCTCTATAGGTGACAGAGCCCGGGGAAATATATTGGGCATGACTCACATCTCTGGATGGTTCTCCAGGCAGGGGAAGGGAGTGCCAAATGTCTTGCCTTAGCTGTGAAGACTAAAAGCCAAGCACTTTTGCTGGGTAGAGGAGAGCTGCCACTTGAGATTCTGCCCCCTCTGGCTGCCTTCTTTGATCCCATTTCTCGACTGTGTGTGCAGATGGCCCCCTCTCTCTGCTTTAGGCCACAGCTCTCTCATCAAGACTGTGGCCCTTCTCCCTCAACTTCTGTCCTGCTTCAGACTTGTCCTCCAGCACTTCAGGTTGTCTCTTCCCACCACTATCCTTGGCACTGTAGCAGGCCAAGGTCGAGAGCAGGAATTCTGAAGCCAGACTGTTCTGGTTTAAATCCAGCTTCTGTTGTGTTGGGCTACTTAACTGTGGTCAACTTACTTAGCTGTTCTTCAACTCAGTTTCCTGTGCTGTAAAATGGGAGCCGCAGCAGGACCAACCACATTAGATCTCTAAGTTGTATGAATGTGCTAATGACAGGTCCATGGAGCACTCAAGGCAGGGAGCACTCTGGGCAACGAGCATTGTGGGCAGGGAGCACCCTAGGCTTGTGAGTAGCTGGCTCTTGAAATGTGCAGCTGCTTAAGTGTTGTTTCCTTCTAACCACTGTGTGGCTGCTCTGGCTGGTTAACGAGCACTTGGGTGGGAGCCCCTTCACATTCCCTACAATGCCTCTTCTGGAGCTAAGCCTTCCTCAAGTTAGAGACAACGTGAGATCTGAGGTTCTGGACACACAGGCTATGATCTCCCACCTGCTTTACTGCCAGGTCCTAGGCAGAGGAGAAGGCTCAAGCCTTAGAGATCATTTTGGAGTAGATGCCCAATTTGGTTTTGGGTAAACTAAGACTCAGGCAGAACAGAGAGCTGGAGCAGCTGGTGGAGCAGGTGTTTGGTAACATGAGCCTTCTGGCTGTAGCCAGGATTTCTCCTGACAAGGCACCTCCTACCCAGGCCACTCTCTGGAAAAGGCAGATCCTTCCAAAGCTGAGGAAATGGCCCCTCCCCACTCCAGTGTGCTGGAGTGCCCCCCCCCAGCCTCACACTGTTCTCTCTGCTGTGATAGCTTCCCCCACACTGTGTTGTGACTCTTACCATCTTCCTTTTACCTCTCACTCTGCTGTCGTCCAAGTGGCTGGATATGAGAACAGATTCTAGCTTGAAACAAAGCAAAACAAAGCATGCCTCCCTACTTCCTCCCATTGAAACAGATTAAATTTATTAAAATATTCTATTGTCAGAGCTACTCTAGGTCTTGAAACCATGTCTGCATGGAAAGAATTCCATAAAAGGAAAACAGAGGGAGGCACTAGCCTTTTCTCCCTCAGCACCTTGGAGAGTCCTGGAGGGTGCAGCCACGCACGTGCAGAGGGTATCAAGAACTAGTACCTTCCAAGGCATGTGGGACCCCCACCCCACCCCAGGGCTGTATCACTGCCTGTGCTCCAGTCTTCCCAGCGGTCCTGGCACCTTACCATTTAGGTGCAGTACAAACCCTGCCATGTGCTGCCATGTGCCCTGAGCCTTGATTAGACAGCAACTTCCTGGCTTCTTCACTCTCTAGGCCTCAGATGCAGAGGCCTTCCCAACACAGGAGGTGCAGGGGCAATGGGTAAGATCAGAACAAGGGCTCAGCAGTACACTGCTTACCAGTGTGCTGAGTCCTCTCAGGGGGTGCTCTGCCTCTCTAAATAAGTTAACTGCCCTCCATTTTAGCCACTTTTTAGATATGATACCTGTAACCATGCTATTTGACTTGAGGGAAGTTTAAGGAAGAGCAAAATCAGTCATCATAAGTCAACTTTCAGTATGCATAGCAATCATACTGCAGCAGAGAACAAACAGCCTCTTCCAGGCTATCCAACTTCTACTCCTGACCTAGGCCCTAGCCCAGGAGTCTGTGTCTTAAGACCCAGATGACTTTAGGAGGCGATGTGGACCACACTCTGAGAAAGGGTGTTGCTGAGCCTCACACTTTGTGAAGCCCTTTCACAAAAATAAACACATCCATTACTACACAGCAGTTCCACAAGGAAAGTACTGGCATGATTGCTATGCATGGGCAGAAATCTTGAGGCTGAGGGAGGTCAATTGACTTGCCCTGAGTCACACTACAAATAAAATTTGCCACTAATTGAATGCCAGAGGACATTCACCTTTATTTACTCCTCATGACACAACACCTCTCATAGTTAATTATTTGTGTCCCTGCCACACCCGTGCTGTGAGTGGGACCTGGGGTCTCTGGCTGGTTGAGCACATGCTCCACCACTTAGCCACATTCTTTTTTATTTTTGCACATTCTTTTTATTGATCTATAACACATATTCCGAAGAGACTATTTTCATCTTTCCTTGAGGAGTATGAGGTTGGGGATATGAGTGACTACAGGGGATCCAGGTCCTGAATCTAGATTCCAAGGCTACCTTTCATGCTTGGAAACAAATGGATGCTCTCCGTTACTCACAGTAGCTCTGGTTTATAAAGTCTGAACATGAGATGGATGGTATGAACAAATAAATCATGAACAGTGACTACTGAGTCACTGCTCCCAGGGAAGCACAAGGCTAGGTTCTTGTCAGTCTCTGGTCACATTCTCCTCAACCAATGACAACTGTATGGCCATAAGCATATGAAAGTTGTGTGTGTATTCTGCCTGAGGCTGCCAGATTGAGCGCCTGTGGCTCACTCACTCACACTGACCTCATCTCTATTAACACCAGAGCCCTCCGGAAGATTTAAAGCTTGTCTTCCCTGGATCGACAGAACTTAACAAAAACCGTGAGTTAACCATCAAAGAGCACGAGCATGCACCGTAGCACTAGACAGATGAAAAGTAAAGGACAGTATAAGAGCTGGAACAAGGCGGAGCTGGGACGTACACATTCACCCTTGTCTGTGTGTCTGTGAATGACAGAGCACAGAAGCACCCGGTTCTGGCTTCGGATTTCCAGTACCTTTTAGCAAGTAGGCAAATCAGAAGAGGAATGATGAGGATTGGCTGGACTGCTTGTGAGGTGGGGGCAATTCATGGTAGGAACAGAGCCTGCAGTCCCTTCACTGGCTTCTTGCAGAGGATGGAGCATTCCCTCTGCTCTCCAACCCTCAGGATAGACCTGGGCCTGAGCCTGTGGCCGCACTCACTTCTGCGTTACTATCCTGGTCACGTACCTCCCTTTGCCTTTTGTTGGCAGAGGGTTCAGCAGTCTCAGAACCAGGCTGCTCAGATTCCTGACCATTAAGCTCATGAGGGCTGGTGGGTAGTCTCTCTCTCTCTCTCTCTCTCTCTCTCTCTCTCTCTCTCTCTGTGTGTGTGTGTGTGTGTGTGTGTGTGTGTGTGTGGTGTGTGTTGGGGGCGGAGCTGATCAGCTATAGCAAATGAATGAAAACATTTGACTTCCTCTCTTTCAGGCTACCTGCCTCCTCTTGTTTATGGCGTTGGTAAAAATCTGAGTCAAACCAAAGTGCAAATCAGAGCTAATCCTGGCCTTGAAGTCAGCGGCCAAGCAGAGCCCTCCTGGCAGCGCAAGGGTTAATGCTGTGACCTCCTTAAAGCTGCTGAGGAGTCAGGGCTAATTTTACTCTCCTATCAGCTCTGCCAATCCCCATTTTTGCCCAAGTGCTGAGATATGTTGGGAAGCACCGAGTCAGCACTTCTGCTGGCCCGGGAGGTGGTTTTGGGCCCTGCTTTTTGCAGAATGCATAAAACCAGTGACTACTTGCTGCTTGGCTTTGAAGTTGGGCCCTTATATTTCTGGGGACTATAACACGGTTGGCGCTGTGCACAGGGAGTGGGGCTGTGATGCTTCCTTGCTCCCCGCTGTCTCCCACCCCGATGCGTCTTGTACTGAGCTGCCCCGAGCTGAGCACAATGAAGGACCTCGGGGCAGCTCAGTACAGGACCCCTCAGGGAGGGTAAGGTCAGAGCTGGCTGCCAAAGCTCTCGGTGCTGCAGCCTGCTGGAGAGCTTCATTGCATAGCCTAGTCCACCCCTCCTTGGCCCATTGCCTTGGCGCATACCCATCACACACTAGTGGAGCCCTTAGCCATGAAGACCCACCTATCTTCCAGAGACTATACCACCCATCCTTTGGACCTGTTGAGTTAGTTCCTTCTGAGACATCAAGGGAGCAGCCTTGTTCACAGAACAGAAGAGAACTGAAGCTGCAGTAGGTTAGGACTCCAGTGAGGGTTAAGGTTTAGACCTGGTGTACTTTCTGGCCACACATAGTGAGACATCATGGGTCTGACAGTGTCCCTGTGTTCTGTAGCATCCTGGCCACCAACTTTAGAGCCCACTGCTTGGTTTCTAAGAGGAATACCAAGATTCACAGAGTATATTTCACACCTCAAAGCACTGTTTTAAAATTATGCAGGGACAGCTAGGCGTGGTGGCGCATGCCTTTTAATTCCAGCACAGAGGCAATTGGATCTCTGTGAGTTAGAGGCTAGCCTGGTCTACACAGCACGTTCCAAGGCTATATATAGAGACCCTGTTTAAAAATGAATTGTATATTGGTTGAAGGTGTGGCTCAGAGGCAGAATCCATACCTAGAATCCATGAGGCTCTGGGCTCTACCCCTAACACAGCCAATAAAAGACAAAAGAAAATATGAACAGGCAAAATAAAACCAAGCTCCTGAATTTGTGCACTCTCCAGCAGACATGTGTCAAAGAAGATGCACCTGCTTGAAGAGGAAGCTGCGGGGCAGATATGAGTTTGGGGAGTGGGAATCTGCATGTTGGATTGTAACTCAGAATTGCACTAGTGCAAGGAACGGGGTGGGGAGAAGCAAGCAGCTACTTTACCAAGGACCATGCCAGAAAGGACAAGAAAGCCACTGTTACCTCCCAAGGGGCTACTCCAGGAGAGGTCACTGTTTGCCCCTTTTCAGGCTGGCCCGCTTCACTATCTGAGCCCCCTTCCTGCCCTCTAGCAGGTCCGGCTGTAGTCCACTCCCTCTTAGATCCACCTGGAGACAGCATTAGAGACAGAAAGTAGGAATCACACAGACAGATGAGAGAAAATAGGCAGAAGATGAAAAGGGACAGCGAGGAGGAGGTGGGAACATCATCACCAGAAAGGTAATCAAAGGACAACATGTGCAGACTGGAGCAAAGTAGCGGTGAGGCAGAGGTGAATTTGCTGTGGCCTCCAGGGGCCTGCAGCTCCTCAGTACCTTAGTAAGTTTCATAAAGGACTCAATATCAGCTTCCAGATCCCCAGGGTCCACCAGGGGCCCCTCAAAAATCACCTCCTCGTGTTGCTGCGTGTCGATGGCGCCAGAGGAATCTACCTGCCGGACGACTTTGCGAATGATCTGAAAGAGAAGGAGGGCTGGTCAAACCATCAGCATAAAGTTTGAAAAGGAAAAGGCCCCAGCAGTGAGTGACATCAGGAGGAGAGGCTATGGCCTCTTGTCCCTTGTCCATCATGGGCCAAGAAGAAGCCTTTCTCTGCTGTCACTTATGGGGAATGTTAGGGGAGCTTGAATTTGGGGGGGGTGCTGCGGGTAGGTTTCATTGTCCGTTGGCTTGGCTGTGTGCAATGCCTCCACAGCCTCTCATATCCCATTCTGTTTCTCAGAATAGAAGTTTGTGCTGACAATCGTACCTCTCTGGTGCCTAAGGACAGAAGCAGACCTTTTCATTAATATGTCTGCTCCATACTTGTTTATCCAGAATGGGAGATGAACAGAAGATATGGCTCAGGCCCTGAGGAAGGGGCAAGGACAGACAAGGGCTGTGGCCCCCCATGTGAACAGCCAGCCTAGGGAAACACACATGCACTGTGTCCTGCTTGATCCCTTTGCCTCAGGGGTGATGCTTGTCAGGCAACGATAACCTATCATGCTGAATGATGTATGCTGTCAATTCAGTGAGTTCCGATAGTCTTTCTGCTAAGGGAACAGGTTCTCTGTTCTCTGACAACTCATCTCAGGGCCACCCTCCACAGTCCTCAAGACTGTATGTTTCATGAGAGCTGATTCTTCTGGAATAGGGCAACTGGAACTATTTATGTGGAGTTAAGTTTTGAGACCATAAGGCCCCCAGTGTCCCGATTGCAGGGGACCCAAAGGTCTCAGCTCTCCTTAGTTACCCATAATCATTGGGGTGGTGGCCACAGCCTGCCTACGGCAAGAAGCAGGGGTACACTGAGTTCGTTCCTCCACCTTTCCACTTTTAGTCCCAGCAGCTCTCCCAACTTAGAGGCTCCACACTCACCTTCTTGGTGACAATGTTGCCCTGTTCGTCTGTGAATTGTTCCTCTGTCACCTGCTCTCCAGGAATATTCTGAAGCTCACCTCCCTGGAATTAGAAGACAGGAAAGACCCAGATTGGTAAGCAGGATTTTTTTTTTTTTTTTGGAAGAAAAGCAGAAGTTGAGGAAGTAAAAGAGTAATGGCAGCAACAGCTGTATCCAATGAAGCCCGACACTTGGCAAGTAGCTGCAGACAGACAAGGGCTTCCATGGTGTGGCAGCACCCTTTGGGGCCATGAGCCCTGAGACAGGCTGGGGCCAGAGCTTGAAAGAGCTTTGTGCACTTGATCATGGCAATAGCAACAACACAGGGTGAGTATGCAGACTCCCGAAGCTTCCCAAGAGTAGTCTGGGAGAGAATACCATAGACATCACTGCCCTAGAGGTGACAAGTTCCGAAGTTGGCTGTACAAATGGAATGAGTGCAGGCACCCTAAGTCCCCGAGCTGAGCTTCTCTACCACTTAATGCTGGGTACTTATCTCTGAACTCGTACCATATGCAGCTATGCCCCCAAAACAGAATGCAAAGACATCGTCCTGGTCTTGTACTTAGCTCTGAGCAGGTACCATATACAGCTGTGCTCCCAATACAGAATGCAAAGAGGTCTTCCTGGTCTTGTTTGCTTGTCCTATCTCCTGGATTGAGCTGGTATTCTCTCAGCTCCACCCTATGCACCCACGAGGGAGTCCCCTCAGACTGTCCTCTGGCACCCTGGGTTCAGCCCCCTATCTGGCCAGCCACTTGCTTGCCCGGTGTTACCTTCAGGAAGACCCGTCGGCGGACCACTCTGGTGGAGATGGTTTCCTCGTCCTCACTCAGGCCCTCGCTCTCCCCCAGTTCCTTATCCAGCTCCTGGTGGATGTGCTTCAGCACAAAGCACAGGGAACCCTTGACAATGTGCATCACATTCTGACAGCTAACAAGGAAGAAGCCCAGCAGCACCAGAGTGACAAGGAGCTGGGTGATGAAGGTCCACATCCTTCTCCTCTCCCTCTCCTCACCAGCCTGGCCCTCTAGGGACCAGGGACACCAGGGGCCCAGCTGCTGTGGAGATCCAATTTCTCATTCTCCTCTTCAACTCCTGAGGTCCCCAGCAACCCTTTCCATTCTGTCTCTGCCTCTCTTTTCTCTTTATCCCTTATTCTAAACAGGAGACCAAAAGATCTCTCCCGAGTGACTCTCTTAGCTGGGACAACATGACCTGAGTGTCCTTCCTGCCAAACAACCTGGGATCTCTCTCCGCTCACACCCCAGAGGACGTCAGCCTTCTATAATTTTAGCTCTCAAGCCAGCTGCTGCTGTCCAACTGGGATGAAGGGGGAAAGCAGGTGCTGTGTCTTGGGCACATAGAGAGGGAAACCAGGCTTGCCTATGGGAGCCAGAGGGAAACTTTCTCATCTTGGGACTCTACAAAACAAGACGTCCCAAGCATTTGGCTACTTTTGTGTCTCCATGGGCAGCTGTTGCGGTGGCTAGAATGATGTTGATGGGGCCTGGACCAGCTAATACCCAGGGAAGTTAAGTATCTGTTTAAAAACAACCCTAAGGGTGAGTAATTTGTTCAGACACAATCTGAACTGTGAAGCCACTGGGAAGCCAGTCTGTCATTCCTGTCAGCCCTGAAGGCCTTCAGCGGGGTATCGAACCTTATATAAGGCCCAGCTCAAAGCCTCTTCTCAGGCTGGAGTTGAGATGGCCATAGGAGCCACTCCCAGTCCACATGTGCTCGGAGAACTGAGTCACACACCCTGTCACAGCAGCAGCTGAGGATGTCATATTCTGGATCAGGTCATTGTCCTCTGAGCATTAGCCCACCGAAGCAGAAAGAACAAGGCCTCGGGACACAGCAAACTCACACTACAAATCACCACTGTGGGAGCTTGGGAAAGTCAGTCACTTTTTTCTGTGTCTTGGTCTCCTCACTTATGGAACAAGGGTTACTAGCTTCCCTGGCTTCAGAATGCTGTGTGGCTCCTAGAGTGCTTGATGAACACAGTCACTGTGAGTAACAAGGGCACACACTACTGAAGCATGCTGTGTCCCGTAGACGCCAGCCTGTCTCACACGGTAACACAACTACCATCCTGTTGTGTTAAGATCTGTAGCTTCCCCATTTTACCTGAAGGACACAGGTAAAGGGGTGACAACAGTGTGTCTAAGTGAAAGGTTAAGTAAATGAAAGAGATTTCCCACTTCTATCACCCTAAATGGCTTGATTTCAGTAGGAAATGTCTGGGAATATAAAATCCCCATACAAAAAAAGTTGCAGGTTGAAGGAGAACATTTTATTACAGCTGAGCTAAGAATAATCCCAGGGGCTGTGAGGGTAATGGTGGAATGTAACAGAGATGGAACGGTTTGTGGAACATGCCTGAAGCCCTGGGTGGTTGATCCTAGCATGCTCACTCATGGCCACACAGACACAGACACACACACACACACAGACACAGACACAGACACAGACACAGACAGACAGACAGACAGACAGACAGACAGACAGACAGACACACACACACACACACACACACACACACGAGTTCAACTTTGGATATCTCCTATTTCCACCCAGTTCCTAGAAGAATTAATTAAGTTATAGTCATTTCGGGTTCACACGACAAATTCCAAATGACAAAGAGGATGAATGAATATGCTAGTTAATGTGAGTTTGAGAACTATTTCCTTTAGTGGGCTCATCATCATCCCTGCGGCCTGAAAGGTATCTATGGAAGTAACAAGGCTAGACATCCATTGGTTCCCACAACAGCGAGGCAATGACATCTCCCTTTTTAAGCTGGGCATGTGGCCCTATGTACTCACTCTGGCCACAAGAATGTGAGACTAGGAACCAAGAGATCTGCATTCTCCCAGCTCTGGTTCATCATGTGACCCTTGAAGAAAGCCCTTAGCCACTTGTTTATGCTTCCCCCCTTTATAATACAGGAGTCACAAACACAATCTACATCTAGAAGCATTCTCTCTAGGATACTCTCTGCCCCTCAGCTTCTCTCCTCTGAGGGAGCAACATGAAAGACTGTGCCTGGCTTTCTCCCTGGGAACTCAGAGAAGTCCCAGTGACCATCACTTGTATTTGGGCAGAGCTGTCATTCTTGGGAGAAGCAGGAGCAGGTGGCAAGGAACAGCTCATAGGAAGGAATGTGCTGGAGGGCGGGGTATGCAGTTAGAACCTGACAGGCTGCCTAGCCTGTACCAGTGCACACTCTTGGCAGATGGGCTTTCTAAATCAGACTCTATATGATTCCCAGCAGTGGCTTTATAGCAGCATCTCAGAAACACGGAAGAACCAATCTGTCTTTGGAGTCCCCAAAGGTGCTCTGCCAGGGAGAAGAAAAGAGAGAAAGAAAGGTAGGAGCAAGGGAAGGGGAAGTAGGAAACGCGATACTGGGTGGGGATACTGTACTGGGTAAAAAGAGCCCAAAGGTCACGTGCAAGCTATAAATACCTATCCCAGAATGGCAATGCAAACTCAGCAAGAACACACAAATCAAAAGACCTATGTTCAAACTCAGCAAGAACACACAAATCAAAAGACCTATCTTCAAAAGATGCCTGGCATTTGTTCAAAAATAATATATGTGGGAATCGAGGATGAGACTGCTGGTGGGGGTGGGGGGCGCAGGATGGCTAGAGAGAGAAGCCCTGAATGACAGGAGTTGGAGAGAAGGGAGTTACTACTACCCTGCCACTTCAAGACTCAGAATCCACCTGGAGTCACAGAAGTCCAGGGCCAGGTGAATGCTGGTGGTATTCCATTCACTCTTTCCATCACATGGGGACACTGAGGTCCTGAAAAGACAGCAGCTGGAGCATGGTCACACACACCCAAGAGAGTGGTTCCTATATGGCCGTCGGAGTTCTTAACACACAGTTAGTTCTCTCAGCCCCAGGTTCTTTCTAGAGTGTGATGGACACAGCAGGAGTTGCGGTACACATCCACAATCTCACCACTTGGGAGGCTGGGACATCCTGGGCTACATAGTGCTTCCAAACCAAAACACGAACACAAGACAAAACAAAGCAAACAAACAAAAACCATGGCTTTGTGTCACCCAGATTTTTCTTAAATCCCAGTGGACAAGTGAGGCCTATGGCAAACTGCCCAGTCACCTTGACATCAGTATTCGAGTGAGAGTGAGAGTGAGCGTGGGACGCCGTGCAGCTCTGGGGATGGGTGATGGGTGATGATAACTGGTGTGTGAGCCCCTTCCTTCCAAAGGAGAAGTCAAGAGGGAGAAAGGATAGAAAGTGAGGTCACCACCAGTAAACATGCCTGGCTTAGGGCCTGAGTCATGAGCTTCTGAAAGCTAGAAAGAGAACGGTGAGACAGCTCAGCAGATAAAGGTGTGTGCCATACCAGCCTGGTGACTTGACTTCAATTGCCAGTACTCATGTAAAGGTGGAAGGAGATAATCGACTCTAAAAAGTTGTCTTCTGACCTCTATATACGTGATGTGGCACACCTGCTCACCCCTACATCATGTGTCCACACACATACACGTCCCCACCCTGAATAAAAAGCAAACAAATGAAAGAACAAGGAGGTGCTCTCACCTGTACTTCTTTCGAGAAGGTGCTCTCAGATACCCACAGGCTTGGTTCCTTGCCAGCCTGGGGGCTGTCGCTCTCAAGTGGCCCACTCTGTACATGCGCCCTTGTAGACACCAGCGTCTGCTCATATCCCTGAAGAGAGGTGGGCTCTGGCCCTTGGATGGTGGTGATCTTTCTTTGGAATGAGTGCGGGCCTTGCGTGACCTCCTCTTGCCAGGAACTTTGAGCAGCTTCTTGCGGATAGGACACTGCGGAGCCCTGTTCATCCCAGTCCAGGGTTCTAGGGTCCAGGACAGGTGATAGGTGGCCAGGGAGAGAGAAATGACAACTGTTCACTTTCAGTCTCAACTCTCAGATATTCCCCCCTCTTTCCCTGGACCCCGGCTCATTTAGGATACAGCTTGTAGTGTCCTCTCCCCTCACACAGGCACATTCCCGCTCCAGAATGTCACAATCTACCTCACAGCCTATGCTCTGATGGGCACTGCTCTAGCACACATGTAGCTCACCCTTTTATTCTTTGAGGTCTTCTTAGACTGTCACCTGCTCAGACCTTCTCTGTCACCTTGTCTATAATTCCAACTGCTTTGCTTCCCACATGTACACCCACTTCGAGCCTCACTCCCCTGCTTTGCTCTCCCATTTACCACTCATAATTACCTGGTACGATTTCTATTTGTCAGCTATTTTTACTTTTTTATTTTAACATTTCTATTTTTTTCATTTTCATGCATATGTGTTATATGTATGTTTGCATGTGTGTGGGCACATGTGTGTACGGCTGCTCATATATGTGGTTGTGCGTGTGCCTGAGAATGATATTAGGAACCATCCTCGCTCTTCCATGATATTCACTGAGGCAGGTGCTACCAATCAAACCCAGAGTTTGCTGATACAGCCAGTTTAGCTTAGCCAGCTTGCTATGGGATCCCCATGTCTCCACCTTCCCAGGCTGAAATTATGCCCAACATTTACATGGGTTTTTGGGAGTTAAACTCTGGCCCTCATGTTTGTGCGGCTAGTTCTTAAACATTGAGCTGTCTCCCTAGCTACCAACATTTTTTTTTAATTTTAGTTGTAGTTATAATATTCAAGAGAAAATAGTTCTATGAGCCCCAGGGTACCAAAACGCATGGATGCTTGAGTTTCTTAGTGAAATGGTATGGGATTGCATGGGGCCTCTTTCATACTTTAGGTCACTTGGAGACCACTTGTAATTCCCAATAGGATGGCAATGCTGTGTAAATAGTTGCCATACCAAACTGTTTAGGGAACAGCAAGAAACACATTCTTATGTTCAGGGCAGCTGCCATCTACTTGCTCCACAGCCAGTAGAAGCTATGGGTTTGGAACCCATGGTTATGAAGCCATGGAGACTTCGAAGGCCAGCTGTAACTCTGGTTTTATTTACATTATCTTGCTCCCTGTCAGTTTCCCCACTAGAATCTTCCTACAGGCAGACATTTCGCTGATTTCTTCACTGCTTTGGTATAGGAGCCTGGCATGTGATAAATGCTCAGTCAATATGGGTAGGTGAGCGAGTGAATGAAATATACCTGTCCAATTGGATAGCTGACCAGAGTCACACAGCCCAGAAATGATACAACTGGGTCAGAGTCTGCCTCCAGTGAGCCTGCCTGCTGCTCTAACAGAGCAGTGGCCAGCAGACAGGAAGTGCTGAATAGCTGCTTGCTGGGTGACAGGCATTTCACCATGACCCTCACAGGCTCAGTCCATCCAAGTCTTCCCATTAATCAAAGGATTTCTTTAGGAAGTGAAATGAATTATTTGCCATCTCTGTGTGTAAACACTTCTCCTTCCACAATGGTCCATACTGGGGACCCCAAGGATGGCCAGTGGAGTCTTCACTGGGAGAGAGGAAGGCACAGCAGCTCCCTGGCCTGGCCAATCCTGAGCTCCCTGGGTAGGTACTACCTGCTAGAACCATTAGAGCCACTTTGCTTTAGGGAGAAGTCATAAAGCAAGGCGGCATGAACAAAGTGACTCGACAACACCTGTGCAGGGAGGGACACTCAACTCATGTCTGCATTTCCACTGCCAGCTCTGAGCCTTTGGCTACACTTAGCACCGTGCTGGGTTCAGGGTCTGCAGAGACGTGAGCCCCAGTGCCATGGTGTAGCCGTAGATCTAACCATGTGTCTCCTAGGCACACATGTCCCAAATCCTCTCTGCATTTCTCCCGCTGGGCACAGCTGACAGGAAACTGGTCTTTGTGGGTCACAGCTCCTTTCCGATGGGTGGTGGCTTCAGAGACATTCATGTTTACTTGACAAGGGCATTTAGAATACAGGATGAGCAGTAGCATCCAGGCCTTCTGCCTGTGCCCAGCACCAGGAATAGTCAGACCCAAAGCCCAGGAAGACAGAAGGGACCCATAGGCCAGCCCTTACCTGGCCTGGCTTCTGTCCAGCACCTGCCTCACTGTGGGTGAGTCTGTGATTCGGGCGTGAACTCGCTGCTGGCCTGAAACAAGAGACACTTCAGTCTCCGTGTCCTGCTCTGTGCCTGTGACCTCCTGCCTCTTCTTTTCTGACCTCTGACCTTCCTCCTGACCTAGCACATCAGCCAGGCCATTTGTGGCATCTGAATCCACTGTGTCGTCCTCCACCAGGTCCTGAGAGCCCAGTTCCGGGCCCTGCGGTTCCTCTGAGAGTGCCCCCTCCAACTTCCACTCTTGTGTGGCATCAGAGTCCTCGGCCTTGCTGCACTCCAGGGAGGAGTCCTCAGCAGTGACCAGGGAGGGGGTGAGGCCCGCAGACCACACCTGCATGTCAGACATCTCCAGCATGGTGTCATGCTCCGTGGCCGCCAGGGGGATGGCGTCTATGACAGCCACTTCATTCCAGTACTGGTCTGCACACAGTGGAGAGGGGAGTGCGTAGTGCAGGGAGGCGGGGGACAGCAGCTCGTCCTGCAGCGAGGAGTAACCTGGAAGGGCAGACAGAGGGCAACATGCTCCAGAAGCGATTTTTGTCACACACACTCACGTGCAGGACCACACACACTTACACACAGGCACGGCCACAGAAAGGCATGCACATTCAGGGCAGGGCTTTCCAAGCTCCGAGTCCAAAGCTCAGGCCTTGTGGCTAATGCCGGGACACCCTGGCAAGAGAAACAAGGCTCTGAGCTGGATGGGGGCAGCCAAGGGGCAAGGATAGAGTAGGGGGCTCCTTTGCTGGAGGGCAAAGAAACACGATTGAAATTCATTCTTAACCAGCTGTGAGCACTAGATAAAGAAGGCTTTATCCAAAGGACTTGTGCTCTGATCTGCCCTGATCGATCACACGAAAGCCCCGATCTCCGTGGCTGGAGGAATAAAGGATGATCTTGGCTTAGTCTTTCCAGTCCTGTTAGGAATGTACCTTAGGGGGGGAAGAGTGCAGCCCACCCAGGATCAGGGTCAGTAACAAGGCTGCCCTGGAGGGGTCTGACAGGGTACACTGAACATCCACAGACCTCAGTGCGGTGGTCAAGTGGGAAACAGGCTTCTGGGTTGGCATGAAGTGACTTTTCCTCAAGGTGCATATTGGTTCCACAAACTCTGAATGATCTACAGTGGCACAGGTGAGGGTTCTAAGGGGTCAAAAATGGCGCAAGGTCAGAGGGCACCATGGGTTCCAGCACACCTGCCCACAGTGCTCCATCCATAGGCCCTGAGCTATCCACCCAGCTCTGGTTCAGCAGGGACCCAGCACAGCCTGGAATCAGCAGCCTGCTCCCATACCTGCTTTGGAAATAAGCTCTTGACAGTGTCTGGAGGGCTCGGACCTTGGCTCCCTGGTGTTCAGGAGCGACTATGAATGGACGGAGAAGCAAGTCCACACGTGGGGAATTTGTGTGTTGGGTGGATGTCACTGGTCTGTCAGAAGTGCTTCAACCCTCCCACATTCAGGAGTCACAAAGTGACCCTTTTGTCCCCAGGAGAGTAGGTGCCAAACTAGAGACAAGCTTTTCTATCTGGCACAGAGTGCCCGAGGAGCCAGGGAACTGTCATGTGCCTATAGTTGTTAAAGATGCAGGGGAAATTAAGTGTGTGTGTGTGTGTGTGTGTGTGTGTGTGTGTGTGTGTGTGCTCTGGCGCGCACGCACAATGGGGTGGGTTGTTTCTAGGGACCTTCTATTATCTAGTCCTCCAAGCCTTATGCCCAAACCCTTCAGTCAGCCAGCCCCTTCCCAGTACCCACAATCCCAAACCCAGGCCTTTTCCCTATTCTCTAGATCCACGTTCTCATTTATGCTTTCCAGCCTAGCCTGCCTCCTTGCTCTCAGCTCTGGGCAGCGGCTCTCCCATGGCCTCTGCATCTAACAGCATTATCCTCATTCCTCCACATGCTCAGCCAAAACATATTCATCAGTGTCTGATTCCATGCCAGACACTGTGCTAAAGGGCTGGTAAACACACACACACACACACACACACACACACACACACACACACAGGTTCAGTTCAGGTTCTCTTTTAAAATACTGCTTAAGTAGCTTGTAGGAGTATGGGTCTCCTAATAAATGCTTTCAGCTTTTATACATCTGGAAGAATTTTTGTTTTTGCTTTAATTTAGTTTCTAATTATTTTTGACAGGGTCTCATGTACTTGGCTGACCTTAAATTTGCTGTGTAAATCAAGCTGTGCTGAAACTCGAGACCACCTTTCTGCCTCTTCCATTTCTGCCCCTTCCTACTGAATGCAAAGTTAACAGGCATGCTCACTTCACTGGGACTTTGCCCCACTCCTTACTATACAACTCAGGTTGGCTTCCAACTTGCTATGCAGTTCATGTTGGCCTTGAACTTTCCTCTCTCCTCTTCCTCTTATTCTTGTAAGACACAGTCTCAACCATGTAGCCCTGGCTGGCCTGGCACTCGCTACATAGACCAGGCTGGCCTTAAGCAGGCAGAGATGTGCTTGCCACTGTCTCTTGAGTGCTGGGATTGAAGACATTGCTGCTATTATTACTTTTTTTTTATCTTACTCCTCCTCCCTATCCCCCTTCTCCTTTTTTCACTCCCCTCTTCTGTCCTTTTTGTCACCACTAGGGAGCGACCCCAGGTCTCACATATTCTAGGTAAGTATTTTACTGCTGAGCATACTCCAAGCCATGTCTACTCTTTCTCTGAAGAAAGAGTTTTACTTTGAAGTAAACCCATTGGTTTCTTGCTTATACTGTTTCCTATGAGTCTATTATCCTTACTGGTTCCCTTGTACTGAGTTCCCTTTTATGCCCAATTTGCTTATTGTAGACCTCAATATAATTGCTAAAATGCTTCCTCTATATGGAGTTCATGATACTTAGTATAGTAACATATTTATAATTTCCATCAGAATACTTGCAGCACATATATGTACATATACACACATATATGTACACACACACACTCAAACACAAACACACACAGTTTTGATCACTGATGCTTTTTACATCTTTTCTTCCTATATTTCAGTTTGTAGGGTGTCTGTGGACAGAGTCTTTGCACAGCTAGGCAAATGCTCTACTCCAGAATTCCACCTGGAACAATGTTTTGAATATAAAATCAGAGCTGTTCTGACCATCCTGCCATCTTTGTTTCCTCATCTGTACCAGTCCTCCTTTTTCATCCCATTACTGATTCAGTTTTCTTACTTCTGGTATCTGGTACTCCTTAACTACTTGCCAGGCACCCATTTTTGGGGTGCTGGATGTTTTTGTAGCTCTGCACATCCTTGGTGACTGTCCTGTTAAGCAGTTTGTTTGGAAAGCAGTTTTGATCCATTGCCTTTTGCTGTCAGGATTTCTTAGGCAGGTCTTATACATTGCTCAAATTCAGGTTCTTATTCTCATTTTCTGAAGCTTGGTCATTCTTTCTGTTACTAATGTCTGAATGGCCAGGCTAGCCATTGGGAATATCTGCTTAATACTCAGGCAAAGCATGTAGGTGACCCTTCCAAAGGACTCTAGTGTTCCGAGACTCTCTCCTTCCCTCCCTCTTTCTCTCTCTGATTGCTGGAGACAGGGTTCTCCTGTAGCTTCCACGGTGTTCATTTGAGTGGAAATTTCAACTAAATTAGGTGCGAGTGGAGAAAACACATGTATGCTTTCTATTCATTGTCACCCCAGGTGACTGTCTTCAGGGCATTTCCCATTTTCAGAGGACCCACCCATTCATTCAGACTTGGATCTGAGGATCTCAGCAACTATAGAACTGACATGGGTGGGCATCACTGCTAGTGCGGGGCCATGGTCACTGAGGCCTATGTCCCTCATGAGGGATGTCTCACTAAGTCAAGGGAAGATCTACTTCAGTCTTACCCAAGTTTCAGAAGTGCTCATCATTCTAGGACTCCTGCGGTCCTGCCACTTGGGTCACCAGCCCATCTTCCAGTCTAAAGGTCTTGGGAAGGTCAGACAGTCACATACATAAGGCTTGGAGCACTTAAGTCAAGCCTTCCTTCCTTCTTTCCTTCCTTCTTTCCCTCCTTCCTTTTTCTCAGACACACAGGTTTCTTCCCATCCCACCAGGCAGGTCTCTGCAGGGTCGGAAGCAGGCTCTCATGGTAGGAGGAAGTCCCTACTCGCCAGTTTTAAGTGGGTTCCTCAGGGCCACAATGGCTGAGCCCTCTCAGTAACTTCTGTGCCTATTCTTTGCTTTGTCTTCCTGAGTCGAGAGGAGGGAGGGACTCCAGGTGGCCTTTCTCCATAGAGAACCTAACCCTAACTCTAAGTCCTTGTTGACTGGCGTGGACTGCTTCTAGCCCTTGTCAGTCTTGGAGACCTCAGTCTCCATCTCCTCTTTCACATTCCTTAGCACCATGTTTCAGGGTGTGTCAAGGGCTTCAGCCAGCCCAGGAGTTTCTTGTGTGGCAGTTGGTGAGCACTTTTATGTTGTTCTTGAGCACAGAGAGTGGACTGTGTTAAGTTCCTCCTCCTCCCATTTCTGCAGCTTCTCATCTCATTCTTACGTCTATTGAAGAGGCTCTTGGGGGAGGTTTTGCCTGCAGATCATGCCTGCCTGTATCATGTTGCTTTGGCTTCTTGAGCAGAGTAAGAGTTGGGTGGGGACTCCAGGTGACCTCAGGTGGCCTTTCTTCTTAGCAGGTTATTGTCCTAGGTCTATACTCACCCAAATGCAGTAAATCATCCTCTTAGTTCAATGTTCATAGCCAACAAAAGGTGTAGATAGGTACCCTGGCTCCAGAAAGGAGTCACTCTTCACCAGCCATATCATTAAACATTGATCTAAAATAAATGCATTTTGTTTCCAACTAGACATAATATGTCTCATCAAGACAGATGGCACTGATGGACACGAGATGCTTGCTTTTTCTTTCCGTACAAGAAATGTCTCATTTTTAGAAGCATGGGGTTATTTTTGCTTTTTATTGTTTTTTTTTCTCCCAGGCATTTTTTCTTTGTGCTTATTCCATGGTTCTGAGTGGTCCCCTCTTATGTAGGAGAACTGGCCCTTGGGACAGGTCTCCTTTCCCATAACAGTGCAGGCATGTAGGTCCGGAGAAGCTGTGATGGGAGAAGATTCCTCTCAAATAAGGACCCCCACCCCTTTCTGCAGGCACTTCCCTGAGTCCCTGCAACTTCAGATACAGACAAGCAAAGGAATGAGGCAAACTAAACTCTGAAACTAAGGCATTGGTGACAACCATAATGTGTTGGGCTTGACTGGTACCAGGCCAGGCACCATGTGTCCTTGTCAAAGGACACCCAGAAATGGTACAGGAGGCTGGTGCCTCTTCCTCTCTGTACTTCTGATCTCTTGCATCCTTTCATTTCTGACTGGAAGGATAGATGTGAGACAGTCTTCCTGGCATAGGGATGAGGGTGCAACAACAACACACAAGCCAATCCTGATGCTAGGAGGCAGAGAGGATCAAGCCAAGGATCAATTTATGGTAATTGCCCCCTCTCCGCCACTGAGGGCAACATGCCTGCAAGGTCCAGAGTCTAGGCTCATCTTGAGATCTGTGGGCTTTTAGGTATAGGAGGATCAGCACGCAGCACAAAGAAGCCAGAAGTGCAAAGCATCTAAACTCAAAGAGGAGAAGAGTCCTCTGAAGACCATGTCATTCCTTTGCTCAAACCTCACCACATGAAACCCAATGGTCTTCTGAAGTCCTTAGGCTTCCTGATGCCCCTTAGTTCTCCTGTCTTCTCTCTCCCTACTGCCTACTATCCCTGTCCCTCTGCTACCTCTGAATCCATCAGGTATGCTGCCCTTCTGGAATGTTCGTTCCTTTTTGTTTACATATGGCTCATTCCATCATCTTATTTGTGCCTCTGTTCAAATGTAACACTCCTACTATGCTACTGAGTTCCTTTGCTCTGGCCTGTTTACCCCCATATCACTATGAGGCCATACCATGTGTAACACATTATATATTCCCATGCATAGTATCCATGGGTTTATAACAGAAGGAAGATGTCACAAAGGCAGAATTTTGTTTTGTTTTCTCGCCTGAGAACTGACTTCATTGCCCTGCCTAGAATGGTGTTTAACATGTAGCTGATGCTTGAAAAATATTTGCCAAATGGGTTAGCCCATGGCAACAGAGCCCTATCATCAGACACAGAACACAACAGAGACTTGGTCCCACTCATAGACTGGGGCCCACTTAGGCATTAACACTCTTCTGATCTGACTGGAGCCAACAGTCAGTCCTTCAGACCCTGGGAATTCTAAGGCCCTGCTAGTTCCATGAATGTTAACTTAATTTAGGGCATTCAGATGTTCTGTGGGTTTAACTTGGTTGAAATAGCATGGGCAATATTAAAAAGTCCATGTCACACACCAAGTGTTTTGTCACTTGAATTTCCCAAAGCTTGCAGATGTTTCCAGCTGTCTTTCTTTTTCCTTCTGCGAAGGGGGAGCTGGCCTACTTAGGAGCTCCCCATTGGGTTCCAATCAAGTCCCTAGAGGGAAGCTACAATCCCCATAGCTGTAGATCGCTCTTCTGGAACCCTCTGGACCTGAAGAGTGAGTGGAGCATACGCATCAGCAGCCACAGACAACACGCCATGCACACGCAACAGATGCCCATGGGGACAGCCATGAGATGCATGGGTGGGGGGTAGGGCCGGGGGCTAGGAATCCTCTGTGACATGCACTTGTGAAATCTGATAGCTCTGGACACTTGGCCAGGTGGAGACAGTGGAGAACAGGAAGTACAAGAGAGTGAATAGTTAGGATGAGGTCAGAGGCAGAAAGAGAGGAGACAGGACATGATCAGTAGATGAGCCCCACACCCAATGGGGCTAGATAGCATGTTTCAGGAGACACAGGACATGAGACAGAGAGAGTGGGGGGGAGGTTTGACATGCACAGGCCCCACCTGACAGAAGGAGGCCCTGTGTCCAGCCTAGTCTAGAACTCACCTGCCCCTGGTACTCCCTGTTCCCTGATGGCACTACAAGCTGTGACTCAAGTGCCCTTGTGTCCAATGTACATGGCTAGGGACACCATTTAAAACTACCAGTTTGGAGAGCACTGATGTCACAACATAGCTGTCCATAGTGATGTAGAGACACCAGAAGAAGACACATCCCACAGTTGACAAGATTTTTGAAGTATTGAACAGCTTGGAATCTAGCCTAATTTCTAAAGATGAGGAAATGTCTCTGCCATATGAGTGCCAGAAGGCAGGAAGGGCCTAATGTGCAGGCTTCTGGGCCCCCACACTAGGCTGAGGTGGGAGTGGGGCCTGCCCCACTTATGTTCACTGGCCAGACAGAGAGTGGATAAAGAGAAAGGCCTTGGGACCTCCAGGCTCTCGGCAGTGCCTGCTTCTATTGTTGCTTTGTGTAGAGTGCAGGCCTTAGACACAGCTCAGTGGCAAAGGTCAGGGCCTCCTGGGCTTCATCTCCTTGGGATGAGTCACACTGGGGCTCCCTGCCATGCTGAACCATATTGAAGGGTGCAGGGAAACAGATGAGATGATAAAAAAAAAAAAAGGGAGAGAGTGTGACAAGGAAGAGAGACTGGGCTCAAGGAGAGGACACCCTTAGTCCTGAGGGTTCACAGTGGGATTTTAAACACCATCAACTGATCCCTGTTAGACCTTGGGCCAGAGCCTCCATGTTTCTTTCTTCCCAATCACTGAATATTCCATAGACAGGGGCATGAGAGGACCCATGCCCTGTGAAACAGAAAGCTTGGAGATTCTAGGGCGAGGGCCTAGGCAATTTCTTCACCGACTCAAATCTGTTCTTGCCATGCCAGGCCCTTCTAGAACCTTGGTTCTGGGGGCTGGTGGAGGCCTGGGAACTGTTCCACATATGGGCACAGAGGCAGGCAGCCCTGGAGGAAGAGGCCCACTGCCCAGGTAGGTGCCACCTGTCTCTCTCACTTGCCTCTGCTCTCCCTGGTAGAAGGAGTTCATCACTGACAACCCTCCCGTCAACAAGAGGGAGAGATGGTTTAGGGGAAATGAAGAGTCATGGGAAGGGGCCATTATTGCTGGTGCCAGGAAGGCAGGGCCCCAGCTCAGCCTGGTCTCATAGGACACTCACCATTCATCTGGGATGGTGACAATGAATAATCCCGGTCCCCATGCCGCCGGTCTGGTTTGAGGTTTCGGCTCTGCCTGCCAGAGCCCTCCAACATGTTAACGATCTCACTTCTGTCAATGTTCCGCAGGGCTGTGTACAGATTCTCCACTGTCAGGAGAGAAGAGAGGAGGCGCTGGAGGAACAAACTCATGTACTTCTAGAGCAACAGGAACGCTGTGCAGGCCTCACAGACACGGGGCAGGGGTAAGTCTGGTTGAGAGAAACAGCTCCCCTTTTTAGATAACGTCTTTTTATACAACAGGTCTACCAAAAATTAAGGGTGGCAGTTGTGGTTTGTTTTGTTTTGTTTTGTTTCTTTCAATGCTGGGGATAGAGTCCATGGCCTTGTGCATGCTTGGCAAATGTTCTGTCTCTGTTGAGCACAAGCTAGATGTTCAGTGGCCATTGTGAAGCATCTAAAGGTGTGTGTGGGTGTGTGTGTGTGTGTGTGTGTGTGTGTGTGTGTGTGTGTGTGTGTGTGTGTGTGTGTATGATAGTTATAGGTATGTGTGTGATAACTATAGAAATGTGTGTGTATATGTGTGTGATAGCTATAGGTGTGTGTGTGGAGGGTGATAGCTATAGGTGTGTGTGTGAGTGATAGCTTATAGGTATGTGTGTGTGATACCTATAGGTGTGTGTGTGATAGCTATAACTATAAGTGTGTGTGTGTGTGTGTGTGTGTGTGTGTGTGTGTGTGATAGCTAAAGGTATGTATGTATGTGTGTATGTGTGCATGTGTGTGAGATAAAGAGAGAGAGAGAAAGAGAGAGGAGAGAGAGAGAGCTATAAGAATAATGAGAAAACAAGAGGAAAGACTACTTTTGAAGTCCTGGTCTACATCAGTGGATGAAGAAGCATATGGAAACATCCAGTTCCTGCATAGGGTAGGGTTTGGAGGAGCTGCTGAAAAAAAGTGAGACAAGATTTCCTCAGACAAGAGGAGGGTGCCCTAAGAGAACAAGAGCTGAAGCAGACTGGGATAGGCCCACCCAACTCTGCTTTGAGACCACAGCACTCATCTGGTTGAGAAATTCAATAGGAATACTTGGAAAACAACAGTCTTACATTCTATAACATATTATTCTCAGGGGTCCAGGGCAATTTTTTACCTCCCTCTGAGAATGGGAAAGATTGAGGTCGAGAGCCACTGGTAATATGAACTGGTAGGATTGCCTAGGAGACCTCAAGCCTATGAGAAATGAGAGAAGGAACAGACTGGAAACCCCAGGTCAGCAGCAGGACTAGAATCTGAAAGAAGGGCTCTGGGGGGGGGGGGCAAATCTCTCTAGCAAGACAGTTGGCTGAATGGTACTGACTCTTTGCATTTTCGCCTTCACGGGCCACCCAGAGGGTCAGCAAGGCTGCACTCTGCTCCAACAAGGAGTTAGGGTTTTCTACACGGATCCGGTTGATATCTTCCACAGTGAACTGCAGCTCCCGGGCCAGCTCTGTAGGCAAAGAACCAAGAGCCAATATGAGTGTGGAGTTTATCACAGTCTCCATTAAATTCTGGGGTTCCTTCCCACCAGGAAAGTCTTGGTGTGGAGTAAATATCTGCTCCTAGTGTCCCTAGTGGATGGGGCTGGGAACCAGGCATTAGATGAGTGAGTGAATGAGTAAATGAAGACATTTCCTTTCTTCTTTCATGACTTCACTGAGGAGGCAATGAGAATGAGCTTCCTTGGGTGCAGGACAAGCTAGTCCCCAGACTTTGAAGTCACCTGCAATCTTGCACAGGTGGTCACTGGCTGTCCTCCAAGAACTCGAGTAGAAAGGCAGCCCTGTAATTACTATAGTAGCTCCCTCTGTGACTTTTATTGTGACTGCTCACAGATGGTTAGAAGGGGAATACATCAGCATACTTTAAGTATGAGGAAGACTGTCGAGAAGGTGACTGTAAGTCAGAGCATGCCTATACAACACACACACACACACACACACACACACACACACACACACACACGCACACACGCACAC